GGGACTGGGAAGGCGGGGGGTGGGGGTGGGGACCCTGGGACATGCCTGCCTGTCAGCAGCGCAGAGGACCCCTGCACCATACTCCAGCAGTGGTTGTCAAAGCATGGCCCTGGCAAACAGCATCACCTGGGTACCCACGGGTGCCCATTCCCAGATCCCCCCCCTGCCCCACCGCCATCGACGTGCTGAATCGGAACCCGGGTGGGCCCAGCAGTTGGTTTCACAGCCCTGAGAGATCGGGCTGGTGGTAAGGGTTGAAAACCACCGCCCCACCGTCTCAAAGGCTCTGTGTCACACATCAGCAGGCTTCCCTCCCTACTAAGCGCCAACGCTAAAGGCCTCTTCGGTTCCCCTGTGCACTGCCCCAGGGACAGGCTGCTGCTGTCCACTCTGTGGCTGACGGCTCTACCCAGCCTGCTCTGTGTCCCCCTCTCGGCTTCTGTAGCCCACCGTGACAGCTGAGTACCCACTTCTAACGCTCTTCTCCTGTCCTCTACCGGCCTTCCCCTCCACCCACCCTTCCTAATTTACATTTGGGGCTCCATCACCCCAGTTGCTGGCCTGCTCTGGGATTTGGCCATTGGCCTCCTGAGCGGAAAGGATGACTCCCACACTATGCTAATGGCTCCAAAACTGGCATCCTCAACCCCAACCATGTGCCTTAGCTTCAGATCCAAGTTTTTGACAACTTCCTGGGACTGGACACCTCTACCTGGATGCCTGCTAGGATTTCACACCAACTGGTCCAAATGCAAATCCTAACCTGTCTGAGCCCCCTCCTTGGCCTTCATTTTCCCTCCCGGTTAACAAGAACACCACTGGGAGCCATGGCCTACACCTGCAGTACTCACACACCCAGCGTCACGAGTCCTCCCCTGTGTTCTGCATCCCCCATGCCTTGGCCTCACAATCTCATCTGTCCCCCTGGCATGGATCAACCGCTGCCCCTCCACCCATGAACACGCGAGTATTTTTCTGACATGCAAATCAGATCCCCTCCTCTTGAGAGCTGACCACTGCCTGCAGGTGAGGGTCTGGACCTGTCCTCTACGGCATCGCAGACTGAATCAGAGCCCTGTGAGGGTCACCGTGCTCTTCCCTGAGAAGACCATCATGCCCACCGGTGCCACGGTTCCAGGCTGCTTCGACAGCAATGTGGGGGTGTCGTCTGCCTGTGTGTACTGTTCAGGGCCGTGTGGACTTGCTCACTGAGGTGACCACGTCCTGGCCTCCCTACAGCACAAGCTCCCTGGCACGCTCCAGGTTGGACCTCGCAGCCCCTGTGGCATCCTCTTCTTGTTCTCTGCACACCCCGGATGTGCAACCGAACGAGTTCTAGGGAACGAGTTCTAGGGAATCGATCGTAAAGACATGCGCTTAGGTCCACATGCTAAGGAAGGGGCAAGACTTGGACAGCGAGTTCCCTCTCGCCCCCACAGGAAGGGTGTCAGACTGCAGCGTGCAGAGGGGACCCGCTGAGCCTTTACAACCACCTTGTCAGTGGGTGGCACCCCAGAGAGACACCGCTAGTCTCCAGGGTTTCATGAAGAGGCCAAGCGCTCCGCAGCGGGGTCGGGATTGAATAAAGAACGGCTATGGATGTTTATCCTCTACACGGTTGATGATCTTGAACCGCCCTTGAGTGTCCTATGCACTTTCATGGAGCGCCGCTAGTGTAGGAGCTCTAGGTGCTAGGAATGCCTCAGGGGACAGGTCCCCTGCTTCCTGGTGCTTACATTCGAATTTCAGGGTTGAGGTGCTGGGGAGTGTGGTTCCCCTGGACCTAATACAAGCTGTCTCTCTGGGGAAGCCTGGGGCTGGGCCACTGGCAGCCACTCATGGCCATGTGAGTGTCCACCCAGCTCTACGTCCCCACGAGAGCACTAAGATGTCTATACACACAGTGTTATTTTCATAGCATTCCCTGGGTAAAAAGGCAAAACAGTATGAATATTTCATTGTAGAAATAGTCCCTTTTAGAATGCTTTGGTGTATTCTGAAGATCATCTGATTTCTCTAGAATGTTTTTTTCATCCTGAATATTGCATTCTTTAGTAGTGATGGACATGGCTGAAATGTGACTATCCTATTGTAACCCTCATGGGGCAAATTACAATATGATGTCGTGGCTCACAGATAAAAGTGAGTGTGCCCTCCTGATGGGGTAAAAACGTTAGAAAACAAATCAACGTGGACAAGTATCTCTAAGGGCCTGCTAAAGGTTTAAAGATCAAAACCGTTTTCTCTAAACTTGGTTATCATCAGACAAGAGTTAACACAATCATTCACTCGCATACGAGAGCACTTACCTTACACCTGATTGGTTTCTTGTTTGCATGATACTGATTCTTGAAATGTAAGATAACATGAACTTTCTTGATATCAAATCCACAAATATCGGGTCCTACACACAAAAAATTTGCCGTTCTCAATTTCCTTCCATAATGCGGTACCATAGACTACCTCACCCCAACCATTCTTAAATACACAAGACATGGGAAGCATGTATGTCCAGGAATAATCACATTAAGGTATTTAGATGAAGGCCAACCCAGTGGCTCATGCCTGTAGTCCCAGCTACTCAGGAGGCTGAGGCTGAGGCAGGAGGATCCCTTGAGCCCACTAGTGTGAGGCTGCAGTGAGCTATGATGACACCACTGAATGCCTAGATGACAGAGTGAGACTCTGACTCAAAAAAAAAAAAAAAGAGGATGTTAGTCTTGACTTCACAAAGCCATTAGCCAATGAAATAGGCTAACATACATAAATCATTTAGTAATATCAAGGCTCATACTTATCACCATGAGGAAGATGATGAGGATGACAGTGCTACCCCCCAAAAGAACACGTATTTTTGTTCTCAATGATAAACCCAATCGTAAGCAAAAGAGAGACTGTAATCAGTATGTAGGTTCTGACCAACATCGCAATCTAGAGGGTTCCATTCAAAAATTAAGAACTTATAAATTGGCACTTACGGAGTTAAGTTTTGGTCAATAGGGAAATAGAATTTCCTAGGACACCCTGTTCCAGGAGACGGGGCCAGATAAGAGACTGTGGCTTTCTGAGTATGTAAAAGGAGGTTTACAGGAGGTATCTGGAAAATCCATCAAACCTGAGGATGTCTGGAATTGGCCCTGCTTTGGCTTTACTGACCTTAAACCTTAAGAATGTGCCAGAGAATCTGGCGTATTTCTGTCGCAGATGGAATTCCATTATGTACATCCACTGATCCAGGCCCCACCCCGGGCAGCCTGAGAGGCAAACTCAGGGTAACACAAGCAGATGCCTGCTATGATTTCTTCCAGGTGACAGGTAAGTGACATGAACTTGCAGTGATGACCCTCCAGAATAAACAGTAGAGATCCAAGCTCCGGTTACTATTTTAAGAATATTATCAATTTGCCAGAAGTAGCTGCACTGAACTTGGAAATGGCATTCTGTGGGATTAGCAGTGAACACCAGGTCTACGTCCCAGCTGAGTTCCTGGAGGACATGTGTTTCTGTAACTTCCTTTGTCATCGCTGAAGAGCATTCTAGTTCAATTTCTAAAACATAAGCTATGCCATGTGAACTGTTAGTATGAAAGTCTACTTAGGATGGAGACATGCAATTTATTTTCCTTCAAAATTGGACAGAATTTCCCACTCTGTTCCTAAGCACCTACACATTTTTTTGGCTTCAGAACACACTCAGAACTGACCAGGAAAGCTGTACGTCATCCTTTAACAGCAACAATAAAATATTTATGCACACGGTGGATTTTCATAAGGAAATGTGGTAGACAGATGTGCTCTGAAGTCAGGTTGATCTAACTTTGGGTGAGTAGTTTAATCTCCCTGAGCCTCAGTTTCCATATTTGCAAAATTTATGCATAACCTATGGATATGTGTTTATGCAAATGTAAGAGCTCAGACAAGGGCCCAGTAAAATACATTTCCCTCCTCTTCCTCCTTAACAACCCAC